TACCAGCATTCACTGTCACCGGAAGGGTGTGATCCCCAGTGAGCTCTGTCCTGGCATTCACTGTCATGGGAAGGGTGTGATCCCCAGTGAGCTCTTACCTGCATTCACTGTCACGGGAAGGTTGTGATCCCCAGTGAGCTCTTACCTGCATTCACTATCACAGGAAGGGTGTGATCCCCAGTGAGCTCTGTACCCGCATTCACTGTCACAGGAAGGGTGTGATCCCCAGTGAGCTTTTACCTGCATTCACTATCACGGGAAGGGTGTGATCCCCAGTAAGGTCTGTACCAGCATTCACTGTCACGGGAAGGGTATGATCCCCAGTAAGGTCTGTATCAGCATTCACTGTCATGGGAAGGGGGTGATCCCCAGTGAGCTCTGTACCCACATTCACTGTCATGGGAAGGGTGTGATCCCCAGTGAGCTCTGTACCAGCATTCACTGTCACGGGAAGGGTGTGATCCCCAGTGAGCTCTGTCCCGGCATTCACTATCACGGGAAGGGTGTGATCCCCAGTGAGCTCTGTCCTGGCATTCACTATCACGGGAAGGTTATGTTCCACAGTAAGCTCTGTACCAGCATTCACTGTCATGGGAAGGGTATTTTCCTGGTTTGCAGTAAGCTCGGTCAGGAACCCTCATATCCTTCGTGATAATCATAAATTTAAAATTGATTAAGATTCTTTAAAAAACTTCTGTGATTCATACTATTGGGCATTCTTTGTTTTTGTAACAGCTTAATGACATATAATGTGCATAGTATAAAATTCACCCTTCAAAGTGTACATTTCAGTGAATTTTTGTGGTATATTCACAAAGTTGTACAATCATCACCACTATCTAATTTAGAAGATTTTTATCATCCCCAAAAGAACTGTAGAACATTTTCATTACCCCTAATACCCACTGCCACCCTCTCCTCATTCTCTGTCTCCTCAGCCCACTGGCGACTACTAACCTCAGCGTATCTTCACATATTTCTCTCTCTTGATCTTTTCACATGTAAAGTTACATCATTGGTGGTTTGGTGTTGGACATCTTTAACTTAGCCTTATGTTTTCAAGGCTCATTCATGTTGTGGCACAGGTAGTTCATTCCTTTTTTAGGGCAAAAAATAATCTGTCATAAGAATATACTACATTCTGTGTAGCCATTCATTATTACAGTTTGGGGGGCCTTTGAGTTGTTTACATTTTCTTGACTATCGTGAACAGTGCTACTGTGAGCATTCATATGTAAGTTCTGTGTAGATGTATAGTTATAGTTCTCTTGAGTATATGCCTACAAGTGTCATTACTGAGTCTTCAAATCCTTTGTCCACTTTTAAATTGGGTTATAAGTCATTTTATCATTGAGAGTTCTTTATATGTCTACATATACATCCCTAACCAAATACATGATTTGCAAATAATTTCTTCTCTGAGTTGTCTTTTTCACTTTCTTGGTAGTATCTTTTGAAGTTCACGGATTTTTAATTTTGATTAAGTCCAGTTTTCTTTGTCATTTGTGTTTTTGATGTGGTGTTAAGAAGCCTTTGTCTACTCTGAAGTCAAAATGTATTATGTTTCCTTCTAAAAGTTTATTTTCTTAGCTCCTACATATAACTTCATGACCTATTTTGAGTTAATTTTGTGTATGGTATAAGCTAAGGGCCCAAGTTCATTCTTTTGAATGTGGGTACCCGTTTTTCCCAATACCATTTGTTAAGAAGACTATTGTTTTTCCATTAAATTGTCTTAGCAACCTTGTCACAAATCAGTTGACCATAAATGGAAGGGTTTATTTTTGGACTCTCAGTTCTGTTCCAGTGAATATAGTTTTATATATTGAAATTTTGAAATGGGAGTCCTCTACATTCTTTCTTAAATATTATTTTTAACTATTCTGAATTTTAGGGTCAATCTGTCAATTCCTGCAAGGCTGCTGGGCTTTTGATAAGGGTTGCATCAAATCTGCATATCACTGTGGAAAGTATTGCCATCTTAACAGTATTAAGTTTTATGATTCATGAATATGGGGCAAGTCTTTTTACTTGTTTAGATCCCTTGTTAAATTCAATGCTAAGTATTTTATTGTTTTTGAGGTTATTGTAAATGGAATTATTTTCTTAATTTTACTTTTAGGTAGTGCATCACCATATGTTGGGAGGACCTTTTTTATTTTTTATTTTATTGTGGTAAAATATACATAACATAAAATTTACCATTTTAACCATTTTAAGTTACAATTCACTGGCATTACGTACATTCACAATATTCACAATATTGTGTGACCATCACCACTACATATTCCCATAACTTTTTATCATCCCAAACAAAAACTCTGTACCCATTAAGGAATAACTGCCCATCATCCCTCCCCTTACCCCTTGTACGAGGTTACCTCTACTCTGTTTTCTGTCTCTTAGAATTTGCCCTTTCTAGGTACCTTGGATAAGGAAAATCATGCAACCTTTGGCCTTTGGTGTCAGGCTTGTTTTAGCATGTTTTCAGGGTTTATCCATGAAAACATTCCATTGTATGCCTATACCACATTTGTCTATACATTCTTCTGTGGATGGCTACTTGGGTAGTTCCTACCTTTGGCTGTTGTGAATAATCATGATAGGAACACTGGGGTACAGACACCTGTTAGAGTCCCAGCTTTTAATTATTTTGGAAATGTTCCTAGAGTGGGATTGCCAGATCATGCAGTCAGCGTGTTGAACGTTTTAAGCAGCTGCACCACTTTCCATTTCCACCAACAATGCACGAGGATTCTGCTTCCTCCCCATCCTCACCAGCGCAAGAGGATTCCTCTTCCTCCCCATCCTCACCAGCGCAAGAGGGTTCCGCTTCCTCCCCATCCTCACCAGCACTTGTTGTTTTTCATTTTTTTTGATGATAGTTACCTGAATGGATGATGTGTTTTTAAGTCAACAATTACACTCCATGCCACAATCTTTTTAATGGTAGAAAACTTGATCACTCAAGACAGATGTATTCAAAGTGTACTTTATTGAAAAGAAAATCAAGGAAAATTGTGAATTTTCTCTATTTCCTGTTAGCTTTATTTCCTTATTATAATTGTAATATCCATAATTTGTTGTAATTGAGAATAAATAATCAAATGTGAGGCTGGGCTTTTTAGAAGAGGAATGTTTGAAATTTTTACATACATCATTTTAAAGTTTGGGAAATATAATTCTTCCTGTCTTTTCTGTGATGTTAAAGACTACAGAAACCACTGGCAAAACCCTGCCAGACAAGACTGAGGAGCTCTGTGGCTATTTCTTGAACCCTTCCTTAATGTTATCAGAATGCTCACCAACCACCATGAAAAAGAAAACAGAAGACATGAGTGACCTCCCCTCGGACAGCCAGAAAAGCATCCCTCTTGCCGTGACTGATGCTTTAGAGCATATCATGGACCAGCTCAATGTTTTGACACAGGTGGGTCAGCGTGCTTTGCTCTGGGGTAAGGTGCCAGAACAATCCTGGCTACAGTGGGTTGCAGAACTGACAGCACAGAGGGGAAATTTACCTTATTAGCAAGGCACTCTCAGGGTGGCAGTCTGGATCGCAAGGGAGACTTGGCTGAGCTGCCCTGAACAAGATCTCATGGAGAGAACCTCCAAGCCCATGCACGTGTGTACACACACAGTACACACACACAGTACACGTGCACAGTGCACACGCACAATACACACACAGTATACAGACAGTGCACACACACAGTACATACACAGTACACACAATATGCACACAGTACACACAGGCAGTGCACACATACAGTACAGACACAGTACACACACAATACACACAGTACGCAAACAATCCACAGAGTACATGTGCACAGTGCACACGCACAATACACACAATACACACACAGAGTGCATGTGCACAGTGTACACACACAGTATACAGACAGTGCGCACACACAGTGCATACACAGTACACACAATGCACACACACAATATACACACAGTACACACAGGCAGTGCACACATACAGTACACACACAATGCACACACAGTGCACACACACAATACACAAACAATATACAGAGTACATGTGCACAGTGCACATGCACAATACACACAATACACACACAGAATACAGACAGTGCACACACACAGTGCATACACAGTACACACAGTGCACACACACAATATACACACAGTACACACACAGTACACACACAATGCACATACACAGAATACACACACAGTACACACAGATAGTGCACACACACAGTGCATACACACAATGCACACACAGTGCACACACACAATACACACAGTATGCACACAATACACACAGTGCACACACACAAGGCATACACAGTGCTCTCTCTGGCATCCAGTGGACAGAAGGGTGCAGCGAGGGCTATGAAGAACAGCAGTAACACTCCTTGCTGTCTATAAACACATTGGTTCTGGTGCCCCGGGGTGTCCAACCCATGGCCTATGGGCTGCATACGGATTATGTGAGGATATTTTTGTTTAACTATGGTGGCAGATGCTACAAAAATTATGAAATGATGAATAGACTTTTTTTTTTTTTGCTCTTCAACTTGTATTAGTGTCTGTGTGTTTAATGTGTGCCCCAAGACAACTCTTCTTCAATGTGATGCAGAGAAACTATAAGGTTGGACACCCCGTAGGCAGTAATTTCCTGCCCTTAGGATCTGTGACGCAGCCGTGCTCACATTGGGCCATCCATAAAGACATACTCAGGGCTATGAGAAAAATGTGCTGGGAGTTCTGGTTCACATGAAATGTTCCCTGTGTTTATATCTTTTACTCTGAAAATGGTCTCATTGTCCACTATACAACTTCTCCCATCCCAAAACTAGTAATTTTCTAGAGGTGATGGCTTTGAATTCCCATTTCCTAATACTGCCCCATCATTCGAGGCCAATTTCCCTTTGCAAAGAGGGATCTTTGTAACGTACCCAAAGTTTTCTAGCTCTTGGTCAGGAGGGTGGATATAATTTAAGGGAAGAGGGATGTTGGTGGAAATGGATACACCACAGGCTTCTCTCCCAGCTCTGCTGGTTCACTGTTTGCTAAAGAAATCTTCCTTTGTTCCTCTTTGATGTGTAGAATAAGGACACTGATACTCGTCAGAGTGGATGTCATTGCAAGTTATATAGACAGAAAGGTTAAAATGTGAACTAGAGAGCTCTCAATTATTGTCCAGAATAAATATGTCAAGTCGAAATAACTTTTGTATAGAACTTACCTAACAGTGCTCAAGCCTGGCTGTGTACTGTAATCATCAGGGCAGCTAAAAAACATACACATGTCCAGTTCTTACCTGGAGGGGGCCATTTCCATTGGTCTGGGATGAGGTTCTGACATCAGACTTGTAAGCACCCTGTATGATTCTGTTGCACAGCGGTATTTAGACCACTAATTAAACAGATATGTTTATCTTGTAGATGCCGTCTGGAGGTAAGAGGCCTGTATATAGTTTCAGGATCCTGACATAGTGTAGGAAAGAACCATGCGATAACTTGGAGTGATCATAGGATTTGCACAGTGAAAATCGTATGAAAATCACCCATTTTTACTGCATAATAGAGGATGTCCCCCAAAGTACCATACATACATACATAGGGAAAATCAGAAATTGTAGCTAAATGCATCTTTATGTATGAAATATTTGTTACAAAAATTTGCAAAATACCTACAAAATATTTCTCTGTGTTGATACACACACACACACACACATATATATATAAAATATAACATGACCTTGTTAATTTTCCTATGTATGGTGACACCATGTATTGTGCCAGAGATGACTTTCTCTGTATTTGTCAGATATTTCTTTCCCTAAAAGGCCGTTGCCCTCTCAACTTCGTGTCAAATTATTTTTAGTTGGCTTGGCTTGTTTTCCACATTGCCATGAATTCCTCACCTAGACTGTCATCGGTCAAGGTCAAGCCCTCATTAGGGTCCCTCCCAAATGAATCTTTCTCTTACCTACTCTTTCAGCTTCATGACCCATTTCTCCTCCTTTTTACCTAATTCAAGGTTAAATAAATCATTTTCAGCTTTAATGAATTTTGCTATGATTTTGTGTTTTTAATTTTGGATTCCTGTTACATATTAAAGAGGTTAAAAGTAGGCACAGCACACTTGCAAAAGGGGAATGGTGGATCTGTGGGCAGGCAGCAAGTAAAATAAATATGTTCTGATTCATTTTAATTACAGATGACTTAACATCACCCGCCTAAGTTGCAGGGTGTTTATAACTATCTCTTCTGAGCTATAATTAGAAATGAATTAAAGTGAAATTACATTTAAATGGCAGACAAAGGTAGTTAACCAGTGCTGAATGTGTTGATAATACTGATATCAACAACCTTAGTATGTGAAACTGTGAGAAGGTCTGAAGTACCTGGCAAAATGTCTGGTACACAGTAGGCACTAACAAACAGTAGAAAGTATTATCAGCATCACCATTATTTTTAATTAGTCATTATCTATAATATGAGACAGGAAAGTCTATGAAATAATATTTTATAAAAATTGGTTATGTTCAGAGGATGACAGAGAGTCAGGTTTTCTTATCTGGAAACTTGTTGACTAAGATAGTCAAACTTGTAACCTGCCTTTCCTATACGAACTCTATAACCAAATAGTAGATGAGGGAAGTGTCTCTTATTTATAAGTTTTCTCAAATAATAATTTTTTAAATGATAGAGTATCATCATTTGGAAATGCCCAAGACTAGATCGAGGCATTGAACGTAACACCACAAAAAGAAACGATCAAACATTATTAATGTGCCCTCCAGTGAAAGAAGAGACCACCACCTGTGGTCTGACCAAGGGTTCTAAGCTAATCGAGACTTTGAATCCAGCCGCCAACTTGCAGACTATCCCGAGGATGGAATAACAGGTTGAACATCCCTTCACTCCTGACCGGTGAAAACGTCACAGGTCAAATGGGCTAAACCTGTCAAAAGGCAAATCCTAAAGGAAAGAAAGGGAGAGAGAGGTGGGCTCCTGTAGAGTGAAAGAGATTTTAAGTAACATAGTAAGTCCTAAAAATGGGAAAGATAAAGTGATTGTGCCTTGGGTTATATGTCCAGGAAATAAAACCATAAAGAAACCCAAGAAGGTGATTACTCTAAAGGGCAGGGCAGAGGCAATTATGCAGGGATGTAATTGTAGCGGGCACAAGAAGGCTCTCTGGAGTGGTGGGCAGAGTTCTAGATCTTGATCTAGGTTATGGTTATAAGGACGTTTTTTCTCATGAGAGTGCCATATGTGACACATGTACTTTCTGTACGTTCCTGAATACTCTGTTTCATCTTCTAATTTTTTTGTTTTTGAGACAAAGTCTCATGACGTCACCCTCAGTAGAGTGTTAAGGCATCTTAGCTCACAGCAACCTCAAACTCTTGGGTTCAAGCGATCCTCTTGCCCCAGCTCCCAAGTAGCTGGGATGACAGGTCCCTGCCAGGATGGTGGGTTTTTTTAGAGATGGTCTCGCTCTTTCTCAGGCTGGTCTTGAACTTGTAAGCTCAGGCAATGCACCCGCCTTGGCCTCCCAAGCGCTGGGATTACAGGCATGAGCAAAGTAGTCAATGTAAGAAAATTAGAATTTCCAAATTTAACATATACATGTATGTATGTACACACATATTCAGCAGGTATGTTGCATGCCAGCACTGGTGCAAGCATTTCACACGCATTACTTCATTCAGTCCCCCTAACAACCCTATGAGGTACTATTGGCATCTTCTTGGTGAGGGAACTGCTGGCAGGTAGTATAATAATTTCAAAGTAATCCAGCCATCCTTCAGTCTGGGGTGATGTAGATATGGTTCACCCTAGAATGGACTGTGCCAGAATAACTGGAGGTAACATTTCAGTAGCACCTGGCAGGGCACCCGCATTCCCCACCCTGCTGTGCAGTTGAATGTGGCCCCTTCCCTGGCCTTGATGCTTCAGAAGATCTGGCATAAGAATTATCTACAGAAGCCTGGTCTTTTACTCCTTTTTCCTCAAACATAGCAATTTTTTTTTCTTTTCCTCCAACTACTTTGATAGTGCCTTGCCCTATGGGAGGGCCCAGAAGAAAGGTGAGTTCTAAGGTTCAATTTTGAGCCAATTTCTTGGCAGAAGAGTGGGTGTCCCAGTTGTGAAAAGGGTCCCCCATGCAGAGTTGTCATCATCGTCCTCCCCCCCCGCCCCCCCCACACACACCAGGCCTTGATGGTTTTGTCCTCCTTTTTGCAGACTGTTTCAATCCTGGAGCAGCGGCTGACTTTGACAGAGGATAAGCTGAAAGACTGCCTTGAAAACCAGCAAAAGCTTTTCAGTGCTGTCCAGCAGAAAAGTTGAATAGAAAAGTCTGAGCAGAGACAGGCTAAGTGACCACATTTACATGTACTCAGGAGGCGGGTACAAGACGCTCCTCGCAACACAACCACGCGCTGATTATCATGGCATTTCTTAAAAGGGTGAGCACCTGAACAAGAGGCAGAAAAGGCAAATCCGAGAACTAATTTAAGCACACAAATAAATCAATGCCAAAGACGAAGTTAAATCACTGCTATTTACGATTGTAGTAATAAAACGATAAGCATTCAAGTGACTATATCCTTTCCCATATTATTTTCAAAGTCAGTTTCCATGTGTAGGCCAAATCCTGCCAGGGAAGTAACCAAATCTTTGCATTTCACTGCAGAATCCTTTCAGACCACCATGATCGAGAAATTATGTAAAGTAATGAATGTATTTCTTTAGCGAACACACCCTGGGTGTGAAGTAATTGACTCACCCCTAAAACATCAAGCTGTACGCAGAGAAGGAGTTGTTGGTCTGTACTCGTTACATTGCTATCAGTTAAAAAAAACTATCCTTTCTTACTAATGCCTCGAGAAGAGAGATGATCTAGTAAAAATCCCCGGGACACAGATTTTCCGCAGCAAGAGCACACTCACTTTCATTAGCAACAGCATGTAGGTAACTCAGGGCAGTGGGTTTTTATTTAACTCAAGGGGCACTTTGTTGATCATTTGGCCAACACAAAGGAAAATGGGGAGCTGGAATCGCAGAAAGCACCCCTGTCTTTTCTATCCCAGACGAGTGCGCTCAGGGGTTTGGGTCGTTTCCAAACCTGTGATCGCAGTCCACAAGAATTATGTTAGTGTGATTTCAAGATGCTAGAAAGCTGGAATGCTGAAACAGTGACAGTTAAGTATACACACGCATACTCATGCTTCACGAATATTACTGCCTAGGCAGCTGAATAATAAGTACTTCAAAAATTGTTACATCATCCTATTTTTTTTAATGAATTGTGATTTGCAACGAAGTGAAAATGAGCAGGGCGCTCCAAAAGATTTTGGTTACAAATAAAGGATTTTGTTTTATCTTAAGCAAAATGAAGATTCACGCAAAGAAAAGCAGACAAATTAATTTCAAGTTGCTTTCCTATTGACCTGTATGAAGAACAAAAATGAGAGAAGGCCGTCTAGGTTTATGATGTCTGTGGGCACCATGGGATAATGCTAGTCTACATTTTGGAACAGGAGAAATCGTGAAGTCCTCTTTATGTGGGAGGCTATACTTAGAAATTTTCTCAAAGCAATTTCAATTATACCTTTGAGGTGTGTTTTTTAAATCATCTCACCTATTGTAAGTGCCTTTATTGATCATACTAAGTGTGACCTTCTAGACATTTTTAAGAGCTTTCAAAGACTAAGCACCTTTGTATTTTATAACCTCATTGAGAAGACTAAGAATGAAATGTCATACCAATTTTTGTTTACTCTTTTTCATGCTTTAAACAATAAAGGCATTTTTCCTTTTTTTAAAAAAAAAGTTGTTCCTTTTCTTTTCAAGTTATTAAAACCTGGAAATAGTAAACTTTATTATCTAGTTCACCCAGTCTTCAAGGTACATAAGAATCTCTCGAGACTGGGGGAGGCGGCTCACCCTGCTAGCACTCTGGGAGGCGGAGGCCAGTGGATTGCCCTGAACTTACAAGTTCGAGACCAGCCTGAGCAAGAGTGAGACCCTGTCTCTAAAAAAATAGCTGGGCATTGTGGTGGGCACCTGTAGTCCCAGCTACTCAGGAGGCTGAGGCAAGAGGATCGCTTGAGCCCAAAAGTTGGAAATTGCTGTGAGCTATGACATCATAGCACTCTACCGAGGGTGACAAAGTGAAACTCTGTTTCAGAAAAAAAAGAATCTCCTGGAGAGCTTGACAAAACACTCCCCTGAGTTCCTGAGTTGGATTCACTGAATCCCTGAGCCCAGGCATCTGCATCTCTATGGCTTGTGGCTAATGTGATGGTCTTACCTGAGGCCCACACTTCAGAACCCACTGATGGAGCTCTTGGCACTTTTTTTTTTTTTTTTTTTTGAGACAGAGCCTCAAGCTGTCCTCCTGGGTAGAGTGCCCTGGCATCACAGCTCACAGCAACCTCCAACTCCTGGGCTCAAGCAAGTCTCCTGCCTCAGCCTCCCAAGTAGCTGGGACCACAGGCTGGGATTTGAACCCACCACCTTGGGTGTACATGGCTGGAGCCTTAGCCACTTGAGCCACATGCGCTGAGCCACTCTTGGCACTTCTTAAAAGCTGATGTTACTACATACTTTTTACATTCATCATGGAACTTTATAAGTGACATAAAAATAGTGATGATATTAGCTGGGCATTGAGACAGGCGCCTGTAGTCCCTACTTGGGAGGCTGAGAGAATTGCTTAAGCCCAAGAATTTGAGGTGCTCTGAGCTGTGTCACCATAGCATTCTACCAAGGGTGACACAGTGAGACTCTGTCTCAAAAAAAAAAAAAAAAAAAATTCATGATGATATGAATTAAAATTCCTTGAACTTTTGTCAAGAGGTCATTTGATAACTCTCTTCTCTTTTTATTTTATTTTTAGCATTTGGGCAATCTCTTTCATCTTCATCAGATTCCAGCCCCTCTCCTCCCTAATTTAAATATCCAACTGCCTGATCACCATCTCCACTTGGGAATGGAACAGGCATATTAAACAGCCTGTTTAAAACCAGTGCTGCTGCCATTCTCCTCCACCCCTGCCATGCCTAGGAGCTCCTTTCTCCACTCCCTCATCTCAGTAACTTTCCTTCCAGTGCTCAAGCTGAGGACTTGGTATCCTGGCTGGCTCCTCTCTCTCACACCCCACAGTTCAGTCCTTCAGCAAATCCTGCCGGAACGTGGAAATCACCTGACCCCCTTCTCCCCACCTCCAAGTCCCACCAAGGCCCGAGCACTGTTGTGTCTTGCCTGGGTGGCTGCAGTTGCCTTCTGGCTGGTCTGCCAGCTGTCACCCTTTTCAGCAGGCCACAGCTGTTCTTGAAAAGCTGAGTCACAGGCTCTGTGCCTGTGGCTCAAGTGGCTAAGGCACCAGCCTCATACACCTAAGGTGGCAGGTTCAAATCCAGCCCAGGCCCGCCAAACAACAATGAGGGCTGCAACCAAAAAATAGCCAGGCATTGTGGCAGGGGCCTGTGGTCCCAGCTACTTGGGAGGCTGAGGCAGGAGACTCGCTTGAGCCTAGGAGTTGGAGGTTGCTGTGAGCTGTGATGCCAGGGCACTCTACCCAGGGGGACAGCTTGAGGCTCTGTCTCAAAAAAAAAAAAAAGAAAAGCTGAGTCACAGCTTGTGGCTCTTTGGCTCAAAACCCTTCAGGCCTTTCATCCCCCTCAGAGTAAAAGCCCAAGACTTTATATGATCTGTCCGCATCCCCCCTCCCCCGCCATCTTGCCCCTCCTCCCTGCTGGCTCACCTCCCTCACTGCCCTCTGCCCATGGTGGCTTCTCTGCTTCCCTTTGCTTTCCCTGCTCTTTGCAAACTGCTCCCCCCTGAGGACATTTGCACTTGCCCTTCCCTCTGCCTGGAACTCTGCCCTCAGGCTTCAAGGCCTCACAGCATCAGCCTCTGCTCACCCTTGGCCCCTTCAGAGGGGCCCTCTATGAACTAGTGACCCTCCATACACTCCCTGTCCCCGACCAGACTTGGATTTCAGCACACCGGTTACCATCTGACGACCCTCAGCCCTGTGGGAACTCAGCCTGTCAGGCTTTGATGGATCTTAGAGCTGAGAACAGTTCTTAGCATGGGGCAGGCACATGGTGTGTGCGTGTTGTGAGAATACATGAAAACAACTTCTAAGTTACAGATTTCTTCCTCTTCTACCCCTGAAGTCGCTTGTCATCCGTGGTTGATTCCTGAGCAGAATGCCTCAGCAGCCCGTTTCAAAATACAGAATTTCAGGTGAGTGGCTGAGTCTCAGGCTCTGTGATAGGGAAGAACGCTCAGGGAGCCACAGCCACCGCCACCTCATCTGATACTGTCATGTCCTTCATAGTGAGTGACTGTGCTTCAACCAGGTGGACTAGACCTCATCCCCAGAGTGTCTCAGCACCTGTCTTCCCAGCTGCTTAACTATTTCTCTTGGATGTGAATTCAAGTTATTAAAGTAGATGTTAAAACAGATTAACTTCTCATTGGCCTGATGTACCTGTGTAAAAATAAACTGAGGCACATTGAATTTTTTTTTTATTTCCTTATTTTTTATTTTTATTGCTTTGCTTTTGTTGTTGTTGATGTTTTTGTTGCTGAGACAGAGTCCCACCCTATGCCCTGAGCAGAGTACAATGGCGTCATAGCTCACTGCACCCTCAGACTGTGGGCATCCCGCTACCTCAGCCTCCAGGAGCTGCTGGGATTACAGAGCAGCGCCCAGCTGGGTTTTTCATTTTTTTTAGGAGTCAGGGTCTCCCTCAGGCAAGTCTTGAACTGCTGAGCTCAGGCAATTCTCTACCACTCCACTACCACCCCTCACACACCCCCCACCCCAGGCGGCACATTAAAATTTTAAAGTTTCTTTGAGCAGACAGTGATTCCTGAATCAGGCAATACCAAACTGCAAAAGTTTGGGCCCCATCAGAGGGGCGAGGGGAAAACTTTTATAAGGTGTTTGAGGAAACAAGACAGAAAATATCTGATTGAGTGATTAAGTGAAACAGTCATCTTAAAGTCCCTCCTTAGAGGTTCCCTGGTGGTTTCTGATGTGTTAAGCTTAAATTTGGTCTCTTGGGATGTGATGCTAACTCTGGTGGTTTGGTTTGCTGAGATAGGAACTCAGGGTAATCAGACTTCCTGTCTGTTGGCTTTCCAATTAATTATTTTAACATGCAAAAAAGTTACTTTGCTTCTTATTTGCAAGTAAATTCTTATTTTAATCTTGAAGGTTAATTCCAATTAAATAGTAAAGGAAAAAATAGTTTAAGAAGTTCAATTAGTAAACTCTGGTGGAATATCAAAAAATAAGCTTAGGGAAGATTTTATTCAGTCATCAATTATCACAATAACTAAGAAAATTGACATAAAGTCTATGTTAACCAGTTTAATGAAAATATTTCAAATTATATATGAAAACACCACACTGTACCCCATGATTGCATTAATGTACACAGCTATCATTTAATAAAAGAAAAATCATCGATTACAGAGTGTATTTAAAAACTACAATGTACAAGAAGGTAAATTTGTTTTACCTTTCTTACTATATATGATTATTTATATGATGGTGCTTCTGGGTTTTCCTAAGGATTT